ATTCTTTCCAGATAGGCTTCCCAACAAAAACTACCAACCCTAGGAGGTATAGCTCTGCACCAAACCTCACCAAYAGRAAAARGGGACAGGGTAGGACTGGTGGACTGACTTAAGACTTTGAAGAAAGAAGCACAAGAGAAAGAAGCACAAGAGAAAGAAGCACAAGAAAGAAGCACAAGGATGGGGGACTTTAACAAAGCCTTGTTGCGAAAGTGGGTGTGGAGGTTTAGTAGAGAGACGGAGGCTTTATGGAGGAGAGTAGTAGCCTGGGAAATATGGGATTGTGAATTTTGGGTGGGATTCAGAGGAAGTAAGATACTCTTATGGGGTATGTGTGTGGAAAGGGATAATGAGTTTTAATTCTTTAATGGTTCCTCCCTATTTTTGGAGAGCGGGGAATGGGTCCAGCATTAGATTCTGGGAGGATGACTGGTCTGGTTTAGGGAGGTTCTGTGAAATCTATCCAAGGTTGTGCAGATTGGGTCGGAAAGGGGTACCTATTTCGGATTGTTACAAAGTCTCAAATGGTACTGTGGTATGGACTCCAAACTTCAGAAGACCTTTACTTGACTGGGAGTTGGAGGAATGCATGGAGCTGCTGTCCAAATTGCAGTCGGTGGAGATCCATCAATTGACGATAGTAGGTGGTGGAAGGAGTGCAAGGATGGGAAATTTACAGTCAAGTCAATGTACTCAATGCTGATCAGAAATATGGTGGAAGCTGATCCAGTTCAGGGAGTTTGGGGGAAACCTGTGCCCCCATGAGTGGACCGGCTTTGCTTGGCTGCTAACCAAGGGGTGTATCCTGACTCAGGACAACATTGAGAGCTGATGCTTTCAATTCCCAAGCAGATGTATCCTTTGTCTATCTGGAGAAGGAAACATACTGCATTTGTTCTACAGGTGCAGCTTCGTTTCCTCAATATGGTTCTATTTTTTCAAGTTGTTTAAGAGAGACCGGTGGTCAATTTCAGATCCGGCTGAAATCTTTGGATGTTGGCCAAAAGTTCAGAGTGTTTCTAAGGTCAAGATTCTGTGGAGTTGTATTCCTTTCGCAGTGTGTTGGGAAGTTTGGAAGGAGAGAAATAAAAGAATCTTCGAGAACAAGGAAAAAAGTTGGGAAGAGGTGGTGGCTCGAATCAGTTCTTCAGTCATAGGTTGGGTGTTAATCCTGCCAGATTTTCAAGGACTAAAGAAGATGATTTTGGGGCTGACTTTTGGAGCTCCTTTAATGCTTAATTCTGATGTATTTTGTTTGTAAGTCTGTTCTATTTTTCTGTTTCTTGGGGGTGATCTCTTGTCACCAATGAACTGTAAACTCTTTTTCTTTTTCATTTTTTGGGAATAAAATTTTTTCTTTATTTATCTTCAAAAAAAATTTTGGATAAAAGACAGCATAAAGGTAAAGCTTGCACTTGCACATTGTGTAAAAACATTGAAAGCTTTCAAATCTTCTCTGTAAATGGGATAATAAGAGCTTGAACTGAGGTAGCTCAGTCTTCTAGAGAAAAAGGTAGGATAAGGTTAGCTGATAAAAAAAGATAGGATAAGGTTAGAGTGGAAACCTCCAGAAGGGAACAAGGTAAAACTGAGCTTTGATGGCAGCTCTTTGGGAAATCCAGGTATGGCAGGTATAGGAGGTGTGTTCAAGAACTCTAGAAGTAAGATAATGGCTTTATACTCAGGGGCCAATTGGGATGGGGAAACTCTTTGAAAGCAGAATTGATGGCATTATTGCAAGGTCTTTGGTTAGCAAAACAGTTGGGATATAGACAGGTGGGGGTGGAAGGAGACTCAAAGCTGATTATCTCATGGGAAAACTGTAATAGACTTACTCTGTGGACTTTTCAACATACCTTAAGGGAATTAGAAGGTATTGCTAAGGAGATGAATGCTGAATTTAAGTGGGTAAGGACTGCAAATGGGATGACTGATTCCATTGCCAAACAAGGGGTATTGAAGAAACAATTGTTTTGGGCTTCTATGTAGCTTTGTTAGTACTTTTGGGTTTGCAGCCTTTTTTTTTTTTTGAGGAAAGCTAACTGAATTCATTAAGAAAAGAGAGGGGTACACAAGGAGGTGTACAAAACAAAAACAAAACAGGGATGACCCCTAGAAATTACACAGGAGGAATCTTATCACAGCACAAATCTTCTAAAAGAGCACCTAATTTTGCTAACCCGTCTGCAAGAGCATTAAACTAACTTGGAATCCAGAACAGGTTTGCATTAGAAGCAGTCTAAATCCCTTGCCTCTGTCAGAAAATGGCTGAGTCTCCACAGGCCGGCTTCCTGCTTTCCTAACCATTTTATGGTGTTTGCTGAGGCGCCTTCTATGGAGAGGTTCTGAATTCCTAGTCTGTTGATTAATTGGATCCCTGTAAGTGCAGGCATCACTTCTGCCTTCGTAGAATCAGCTATGCCTATTGGCCCACTGTACACCCAGCAAATATTCCCGTTTTCATCCCTTAATACTCCTCCAATACCAGCAGCACCAGGGTTGCCTGAAGCACTTCTGTCAAAACTTAGAGTCCGAGTTTCTTCCCTTCTGAGGAATGGACCCCTGTAGGTGGGTGGGGAGGGAGGGGAGGAGAACAGGAAATTGCCAGCATTCCTATTAAGGCTGTTTACAGAGGTTCCTTTGAACTTATCTGAGCTGGAAGCCCACAGATTACAGAGGTAGTTGATGTGAGAAATCAGATCACTCTTTGATTTAACCTTATTCTCAAACAAACGACTATTCCTTTCTTCCCAAACTCCCCAAAGTACAGCATGCAGTACTATTTGCCAATACACCTTACCTCTCTTACTCGATCCTTTTCCTTGCCACTGATGGAGTAAGTCCTGGAGGTGATTTGGAGCAACCCAGCTGTACCCAGCTAGTTCTTAAAAGTAATTCCAAATGTACCTGGTTTCCTGGCAGTGGATGAAAAGATGATTAGTTGACTCCCCTTCTCAAAGGCAGAGGATGCAGGCATGAGGGGAGGTATAAAGTCTGCCATGATTCTTCTTTTTCAGCAACTCACAGGTGTTTATCTGATGCAGACAGGCCTCCCATACGAAGAAAGAGCTTGCAGCTTTTTTACCTGTGTATTAATTTCACCTATCATTTAATAAATTTTTTATTTATTCTGCTGACCAAAAAAAGAAAAAAATGGCAAATTTTGGAGATAGTGCAAACCATGGTACTAGTAAACCCTAAAGTGCAGGTTCTTTGAGATTCTCCAGTAAATTTGTAGTGACAAATGCCTTATTAGTTGCATTATAGATGAATAGAACGGAAGATATCTAAATATGGTGTTATGGTTGTGACTTGCTTTCTAGAGGGTACTTACATAATCTATGGTATATTTCAATATGTTTTTGAAATTTAATTGAACAGAGTATGAGATCACAACATGGTTTTGCAATAATAGTTCACCTGCTTAGTAGATACATTTAGAAATTGGAAGATTGTTGTATCAATATGCTGTTTTGCATAATTGTTAGCTATATTTCACATCATTTAATTTGCATGGATTCTGATAGAGTAGGTGACTATTGGTTGTATTTTTTTTTACTATATCACTCTTAACTAGTTGGTGAGGTTCTGCAATATTTTCCTTTTTCATAGAGAAACAACTCATGTGCAGGTCATATGGTTGAAGGTCGAACTATGCAGGTTGCTAGAGGAGAAAAGATCTGCTATCCTCCGGTTGGTTTTTTTATGTCATTTCCATATATGATTCTTCTCTAGATGGCACTTGATATTTCTAGTATGGTTTATTTCACTGAAAACAAGAACCATTCATAGGCTTGAAAAACACATTTAAGCTTGATCTGATGCTAAGGCTCTTGAAAATCTTGCCATGAGCTGTACTTTAGTACTGAGTATCCTCTGATAGTTGTGTAGCATTACTGGAAGAGAGTCTAGAACCTAGCACCTACTCTGCTGGCCCAAACTAGCAAATGTTATCAGACCTAATTGCATGAAAACCTTTATAATTGATCCCTCCCCCCCACACACAAAGAAAAGGGAAGTAAAATAAAGTAACTTTCAAGTTTAAAATCAGGGGGGAAACTTAATCTTCATTTGGTTTCTCATGTTTCTAGCTTCATTCTTTTCCCATCCATGTTAGATCTTCAATACAGTTAACTGCCAAAACAAGGTTTTTTCTTGAAGCTTATGGGATATGGGCTCACTTCTTGAAGTCTTTTATCTGGCAATCTGCAGCGCTGAGAATGTGGAGAGGCTAATGTCTTCTTGAGCAGTGGGTAGTTTTAATGTGAATGGCAACATACTGTGGAACTTACTGTTCCATGTGAAAAGAAAGAAATAGCAGAATCTTTAATCAGAAGTGTGTTTTGGTGGGATCAATCATTAGCAAAATTAGAATGCCATTATTCTCTGGTTAAGGGCTCTTAAAGAGTTCTCCGGGATGTAGCAGGGTCAGTTTAGAGACCAATGGTAGCACACCATTTTTTATTAATTGCTGGTTGTGTATGTGGAGTGCCATACTTGCATGTTATTTCCAGTTTGGTCTTGCTGATTTTCAAGTATTCTTCCTCCCCTTTTGATAACTAATGGAAATTTCTTTACCAGTTATCAAAAAGCATAATCATGGGCCTTCAGTCACACCTTTCTTCAATCTGTGCATTGTCAAAGGGAGAACTATGAAGTTTCTCCAGTAAACCTGAAATCATCTGGTAGCAACTGAGCTCTCATATTTTTATTTTCATTATTTGCAAAAACCATGGAAAGCTGAGTGTGGAGTTTTCTAGCAATGTATATTTAACTTGCCAGAGAAGCTTTATCACCTGTTTATATTAACCCATGCTTCTTTGTCTTGGTTTTCTTATCATGCCATAATGTGATGAGTTTGAAACAGAAACTTGGAACTGCACTTCATTCTTTGTCTTGATCATTGTTGGTAATTTGTAGGTTTTCTTGCACCAAATTTAAGATATAAGAGTTAACTGGCTATTGCAAATACCATTAAGGGAGAGCCAACCCATTAGAAACAAATATCAAAGTTTCAACTTGGTATTACTATGTTCTCCTCTCAAATGGTATTCCAGCATCAAGCATTGAATTTCCATGTTATTTCTGTTTTTTTTGTCAGAGCTGAAGAGCTGGAAACCGCACTCATGGAGATGGTCAAGCAGGATAATCGTCGGCAATTGAGTGCAAGGGTACATCTGAATCACAATAGACTATCTGCTTGTTGTGCCAGTTGTCATGTTAAATATGAAAGAAACATATGCTTTTGTAGGACTGTTTATGGTTTGGTTCAAATCAGTTTCACTCAATTTTTCCAAGTGAAGTAGCCAACCGAAACTAACAATAGAAAGAACCAAATTTGAAAGTGAATGTTGATTGACAGTCAGATTAATCAGTTTGGGTTCCTTTACATTTGTTTTGAATTTGGCCCAATGTTCTGGTTTGGGCTTCACATTTTTCTGGGTTTTAAATTTAACCAATCAAGGTTTATATATGTATCAATGAACAGCCCATCTAACAATGGTTGGGTTTATGTTTTATTACCTTTATTTGCTTGGTAGTTGGTACAAAGTTTACAAATGCAATAACAAAACAGAAAATTACACCACTAATTTTTCTTTTGGATATAGATAGGTTGTAATGGGAAAATCAGATTCATGTAGTTGGGTATGGCTTTGTTGAGTTGAGTTGTTGATAAAAAAACTATGTAGAGTGTTTTGTTTAATTTATTTTATTTGGTGGGGTGGGGGACGTATCTGTTAAAAAAATCATTCAGAAACATTTTAGAATGGGGAGTGAAGGAGGTGTGTGTGGGTGGAAGAAGAATGCCAAATTCACAAGGAGAGGTTAAGCTATCATTCTACTCCTAAGGCGCGAGTCATAACCAGAATACAAGAGGTGTAAGCCTCTTGATAAAAAAAATACAGTAAATATCCCATAAAATATGAATATTTATGAGAAATTAGAAATTTTCATATTTACAATTTCTAATAATAAAATCATCACAATTAAATGTAGAAATTAAGTATCATCATCATAATTATACAAGTTCATCAGACATTAATATATCACTTGCAAAGAGTGCAACCATTTTGTGTGAATAGAAATGCCAAAGGTTAGGACCGTAGCCAATCAACCCCTCCCAAGACCCCAAATAGCTGGGACGAACACTTGGTAATGGCCTTCTCTAATAGTTTTCTTGTCAACTTTTCTTCTGTATATCTTCTATTAAGAATTTAAATTTCACTCTTTAGTTCGTGCTTATTTGCGTGTTTGTATGTGTGGAAGGGGACAGTTTTCTCTACTTTGCAAACGAATGTCAGTTGTCTTGCTTATAAAATCTTTGAAATTTTCTTTTCTCATACAGGTGGAGCAGCTGGAGCAAGAGGTAGCAGAGCTACGGCAGGCCTTATCAGATAAACAGGAACAAGAGCGTGCCATGCTTCAGGTTTCATTTCTTCTGAGTTTTATCCTTCATCTATTTGGTGAAGGTGGTTCTTAGTTACATGAAACACAAGCAAAGTGAACCCAAGATCCTGAGCATTGTTTGTCCCTCTTATTTTTATCTTTTTTAATGCCCACCTCTTGTTTGTTGAGATTGAACGACAAAGCTTGCTAACTGTTCCCTTCTGTTGTTTCTTTTGAAATTTCCTCATGGTTTCCTGGCTTCTCGAAAGATGAAAACCTCTTATGATGATGGATTTGCTCTGAGATGTCTGCCTAAAATACTTCCAAGAAAAAATGCAGTTCCTAGTTTTTAATACTTGTTTCCTTGTCTGCCAACTTTTTGATATTCTTTTATGTTATTGTTCCTTGTTCTGGCTAGTTCTATCAGAGACATGGGATTAAATCCTGCCTCCACCAGGGATTGGGTGGTTTCAGTTGGGGGAGGGCTGCCCCAATTCTGTAACCCATTTGCATAGCAAAAATATGTTATGTTTCTTTGTTCTGCACTAAAATTCGCCAGAAAAATGTACTTATATCATGATAATCTACAATCTGATCCAATATTACTATAGGTCCTAATGCGGGTGGAGCAAGAGCAAAAGGTAACAGAGGATGCTCGTAGATTAGCGGAACGAGATGCAGCTGCTCAGAGATATGCTACCAACGTGCTTCAGGTTCTTTCTTGTTTCTAATATATGAGCTCATTTTAGATAAGGAGATTCATTTCTCACTTGAAATAATTCACTTGGGGAAGTATCTAAATTTAGTAGGACATGGAGAGATTCTCTTTATTTCAAGGGTTTGGATTTTATAATAGCATTCAGTCCCCTGGGATCCATCTCAAAACAGTGCTTTTATCTCCCAAAGAAGTTTCTATTTTAATCAATAATAGCTTCCAAGTGCTTTTCTCAAAACCGTTGCTCCATCCAATGTCTTCAGTAGACCTTTTTAATTGTTAACTACTATGTGGAGGGAGACTCAAAGCTGGTAATCAATTGGTCACAGATGTGGCTCTTCAACAATGAAAAGAAATGAATCAAGTGGCTAACCAGAGACCTCCATTCTCTAATAAAATCCTATTATAAAAAAACCATAGTCATGGAACTAAGAATTGGACGGGTTAAGAGAGATGCAAAATCTGTAGGTGATGCATTAGCTAAAACAAGGGGTGGGGAGAGATTCTTTGTTCTGGGCAGAGAAGTAAATGCTTTTGGGGTGGGATGGGGAGGGATAAGATATTTTATCTCTCACAATCTTTGTTCTGTACCTCCTTTACTCCTTGTATTTTAGCTTCTACTTCTTGCATATTCTAATGAAATCTTAAAGTTATTGATCAAAAGAAAAAAAAGGTTCATCTGGGTGACGGGACTGATGTTGAATGGGAAAGAGAAGTCCTACTAGGGTGTTCATGGTAGGCAGGAAATAATTTAGATATGACATATATATGGAAGGGGTAGATCTCCTACCACTCTTAGGGTCTCTTGCATATCATTGTATTTTCCTCTTTTAAAAAGACTTTGAGTTAGTTATCAAAAAAAAAAAAAAAAGAAAGAAAGAGAAGAAAGAAGATGCTGCACCTGCAGGGGACAGACTTGGAGCAAGCTCCCGTAACCGCAATTTACTAAATTAGGTTTTATTCATTAAACTGGCACTAAAATTTCAATTGCAATGACTATTTAGAGACTCTCTTTAGGCTTGGATCTTCCATCACAGATTCCAATTTCAACTAGGACTGTCCATAAAAAAATTTCTAATTGCTTTGAAACTAAGACAAGCACATGGGTATTCATAAAAAAAAAGACAAACGCATGGGTAATCCATGGGGTTTTGAAATTCCTAAAAGAACTTAAATACCCATTACTGATCCTAAATATTTAAAACCCAGCATATGCTGACACCCTATCACTAAAATGATCATAACTCTCTCAAAACACGTTAGATTTACAAAATCTCGGGAGTCCAGATCTGCTGCACATTTGAGAAAAGTTACCTTTTAATATCTCATTTTTATATAAATTAACAATTGTTACTAATAACGATTTTAAAAGTTCTGAAAACTCAAAAGTTTTTTCTTTTTTTTTTTTTGATAATTTTCTGAAAACCCAAGTTTCTCCAAACTACTTTGACCCTTCAAGATTATTAACCCTATTCCTAAGACACCAACAGGCTAGAAAATAACTTCCAAGTGATTCAAATTATTCAGAATGGGTATCATTCAAAAATTATGAAATTGCTACCGGTGCAAAAAATTGGTAGAAATTTGGATTCCTTTTTACATGGTTTCTTTCTCTTTTTCCATATTTGTATCCGCTTTTGTGCAATATGCCTTGCCAATAGGCTTTATGTATGCTCAAGCTATGCTATTTTCCCCATCAAATACAAATTGTCCTAACCCAGAGGGTTTATTTTCCCAAAGATCTACCATTAAAACCTTAAGGGTCCTACTGGAAGTATCATTTTAGTCCATTGTTTATCCAAGAGAAATTCCTAGCCGGGGGGGGGGGTGAAGGATTGGAAAAGTGTCTAATCAGATCTTGTTGAAATTGATACCGCTATGTTCTTTTTAGATTGAACCCCAAGAAGAAAACGCAAATATAACTTTCTAATGAATGATAGAAGGAGCAAATTGATTTTGGTGCACCCATAGTTTCATCGTCAAGAAATTCTAGCACTGTAAAATGATGGTTTTGTATTTCCTATCAGAGCATAAATGGGAAATTAATACTAAAACATGAAATTGGGGGCATTCGCCCACGATGCGCAAGTGGTTTTCAGCCTTTACACTTATGGCATTGAAATCTATCCATCTATCATTTCTTCTTGGCTGAAGGCGTATGGAGGCCATGGCCATTACCCAATGTTGGTCCCAGCTATTTGGGTCTTGGGAGGGGTGAACTGGATGTGCTCCTAACCTTTCTCTCTCTCTCTCTCTCTTTTTGAACAGTGGCTTCTCTGAGACTAGAACCTATGTTCAACATGATAAACCTAAAAAGGATCAAGGAAATACAGTCAAGGGTCTTGGCATTGCAGGTACATATTAAGAGAAATAAACAGTTTAGCAAGGGAGTTAGGGATAGGAGCAAAGTTGGGTACCAAGAACAGCTAGCACTCTTTCTGACTCAGTCATAAAACAAGGAGTAACTATGAAACCAGTGTTTTGGGGTGTGTAACTAATGGGGAATGTAAAGGGATTAGGTAGTGAAGACTTGGCCTAACAAAAGGCAAATTTTTTAGAATAACCAATAAAATTACACTATTAACAATAAAAAAAAGTATAGGACTAGAAATGAGCCCATTTGTGGGAATCTGGGAGTAACCTTGATTGGTGATAAAATGAGGGTAAGTAAGCTAAGATGGTCATGGTGGTATGCATATTAGAAAACATACTATACCAATAAAAAGTGATCTGCTGCAAGTTGAAGGATACAGAGGAGCTTAGGGCATGCAATAACTAGGCTAGTAATTTAACAATGTATATCACCCTTCATAGTGTGAAATCACAAAATGGAATCATGTATCCAACTCCATTTAACTGGGACAAGTCTTTATTGAAGTGAGTTAAGCTATTCATTGCATAGCCCTGTCACAGAAAGAAATACATGGATTTTTTTTATTAAGCATTCAAACAGAACAGTTTCTTATGCTTAATTATCTTGTATGTGTGATCGGTATCATAAAAGGGGTAACCAATCAGTTGGTGTTTATCAAAATTCATGGTGCTTTTTGATTGTTTCAAGCCTTTCTAGTATCATGTTTTTCTGGCAGCATAGATTTTCCCATATATATGTATATAAGCAAAGCATACCTCTCCATGGTTTGTGAGAGCTAGCTTCTTATAACTTCAATTAATTCTGTGCCTGTCCTACCCTCTAGATGCAGTATATCAAGATATCAGGTCCTTATATTTTTCCTTTCCATTTTATGTATGTTTTACCTTTCTTATCAGAACCAGATGTATGCAGGAAAAATATGAAGAAGCTATGGCTTCACTTGCACAAATGGAAAAGAGGGCTGTTATGGCTGAAACCATGCTGGAGGCGACCTTGCAATATCAATCTGGCCAAGCTAAAGCACAACCTTCTCCACGGTACATATACTAATCAGGAGGCCATCAGTACCATATGTTAGTTTTTTTTCCCTTTAGTATTGTTGCCTCTTCTGAGGGTTGTTCGTATTGCAGTTCTGTGCATTCAGATTCTTCACCAGTACGTATTAATCAGGAGACCACACAGGACTTGCCCCCGAGAAAAATCAGTTTGCTTTCAAGGCCATTTGGTCTTGGTTGGCGTGACAAGAACAAGGTAAGCTTTTTTGGATGACTGACATGGTAGCCCTTGGTCACCATTTATCACAGATGCAGTTGCATCTAAGAATTGTTCACCCCTCCACACACAAAAAAAAAAAAAACAAAACAAAACTATGCAAACACATATTTGCTCCAATAAAGTTCACATAAAACCTGCAATGATGCTTTGCATTACTTATCAACCAAAAAGGGAATCTCTTTACAATAATCAAAAGCCTTTCCCGTTAACCACCCAAATTTAGACTAACTTCTTTGGTATGAACAGAAAGATCATTGCAGTGGTTAAATCTTTTCGGGTGGAGGCAAACATTCTTTCATGGTAAGGGGTAAGGGCCGTAAGGCTGCAATGGTGGGCCTTGGCACAAAGGTTGGGTTGCTCCATTGTGACCTAGGTGACCAGGGTTCAAATCTTGGAAACAGCCTCTGTATGTGCTCGCATTGGCGGGAGCCTGGTGTACTGGGCTGCCCTTATCTTAAATGCAATCATGTAACTGCTATAAGTCAATGATTTTGGGTTGGGTTCAAATCTTAGAAACAGCCTCTCTGTATGTGCTAAGGTTGTGTGCATCTGTCCCTCCCCAGACCCCACATTGGCGGGAGCCTGGTGTACTGGGCTGCCCTTATCTTGCATGCAATCATGTAACTGCTGGGTGGTGTTGGTGTTGCTTGGGGACTCAACTAGGTTAGATTTTTGAGTTGTGGCTTAAACCCATTGCAAAATATGTACTGCATGGATTCATCAAAAAAAAAAATATGTACTGCATGGCAACCTAACCTTCAGGTTTGTCTTATTTTTGTTTAGACCTAGACCTATCTTCCACCCATAAATAATGAGGATCTAACCACTCTGGGAATAATGAGGATGAAAAAACTTTGGGATCTAACCACTCATTTTTACTGGGCATTCTCTCTGGACAAATCATTTATCATATTTATCACATTGGAGTTTGATGTATTTGGCAAGCATCTTTCTCAACCTGGAATTAAAATGTTGGGAGAGGAAGCTAGGGAACTAGCCATGAAATTGAATGCTATTTTTGCATTGAACTACATACAGATACCATTTGTATGGCAGATGCATTAGCAAGACGAAAGGTAAATAGATAACAATTATATTGGAAACTTACATATGACAGCACTTCCTTGTAATCACCAAGGGTTCTTTGTTGTGGTGAAGGTAGTTGGTGCTACCTTAAATGGGGTGCTTGGCACAATTACTGTAAATCTGTAATTAATTTTTAAATTATAATAAAATTCTATCAGCTATGCCACATCTCATGCATAGATTTTTGGCACATGCTTTCATCATTAGATATTTGTCTTTGCCATTTGAATTTGACAGGGGAAACCAAATACTGCTGATGAGCCCAGTGAAAACTCCAACGATCAAGTGCACAGCTCATTGCAGAAAGAGATGAATGGCCATCAAGAAGAGGAAAAAATAGCAGAGAATTAATGGAGCATTCTGAATTCTGTATGAATGCCCCCCAGAAGAGATATGCTTATGTCAGTGATTGTACAAGAAAAATCATTTTTCCCGTGAGCCTACCTGTATAAAGGGTGCTGCTGCTGTTTTGGGCATGGAAGGTATTAATTTATTCTGTATCAATGTCAAGTTGAAAATCTGCATAGATATAGTCTTGTTTGTAATTCATTAGACAAAATCAATATAAAGAACATGGCCGTTCATTATTATTTGTTGTTAAGTAGTTAATAATACTAGGTGAGGAAATGAAGAAACATGAAATTTATCCATGGATGACTTTTTCGGTGTTCTATACTTAATTTCTTGGACCTATTTTAGAAAAGACTTCCAAAATGGTGGTGATACTTCTGTACTTGTTGTGTACTAATAACAGTCGTTCCTAAATTGAAAATAAGCCCTCCTCTTTCATCCAAGTTTTTGACTGTTGACGTGGGATTGTGTGTCTACGCGTTTGTGCATCACATTTAATTAAATGCTTGGTTGGCTGATGTTTTAATAATTAACCACTGGGATTCACTCCCATCCAAGGTGCTGGGATTATAGGGGAATGGAGTTGAACTTTGGTAGATGCCGAGGAAAACTTCAGTCGTTTTAGTAAGTGTTGATTAGGTAACTATTTGAATAGTCCAATAGCTTTGGAAAGGATCTTAATGGTTCGGTTGTTGACAATATATGACATAATGGTTGCGAGTGCTGCTGGTGGTATATTGGGTCCTCTTTCCAGCGAATTCTATTTAGGCGATGATTAGTTGCACGTAAAACAAGGGAAATGAATTCATTTTCGTAATTTTCCTGGGTTACAATAATTTGAAAAACAAGGCCAACGGCATTTAAATCAAGAAGATTAACTCAACAGATTCTTCTGAAAGTGACTAATGGAAAACTGCAACGAACGTCTTTTTCCTACCCCTCTGGTCATTAATCAAACGTTTCTATTGGATACACCCATTTCTCAGGACGTGAGATCAACATGTAATTAGTTACAGGTAAGGCAAGCTATCCAACTCTTTGGATCATTTCGTATTTGGGGTTAAACACATCATCCTAAGCACAATTGACATTTGGTAAAATACAATAATAGGCCAAAAGAACGTTTCCGGTTTCCACCTGTCGTGATGGGTGTCAAAGTGAGAGAAGGTCACCTCTCACTTGTGATTTGTGAAGCCTGATTTGTGTCAAAGATAAGAAAAGGCCTAATAAATATTCCAACAGAACGTTTCTGTTGTTCTGGGAAGTTTTCCTTGTAACAACGCCTGATTTGAGTTCCTTCTGTTTCAATTTTCAAATAAACAATCACTTCACTAGTGTCCTGTAGGTAGGAGATCCAGATTGTAAAACTAGACCCTTGGTATAAGTTCAAAATATTGAAATGTCCAATACGCTAGTAGAGAGGTCGGTTTAAGGTCCATCCACCCCCTGAACTGGTGAAAACCCCGATACACCCTCTGTAGGGGCAGGATCGATACTTTGAACCTTGCCTTGTCAGATTTTAGATCACTACTCGGCTTCATAATGATTTGACAAAATCAACGTTCTATCCGATAGACTTGAAGAACAGTATGTGATATGTTACCCCTCACGCAGCACAGAAGGCAAGGAATCTGTCCTGCAGGAATAAATATCAAGCGACAATGCTGATGGGAACCATGTACGGTAACTCAAATGTAATATAAAATAATACAAGGATACAAGCACCCAAGCTCGCATGTACATCAAAAGGGTGAAAAATGGGAGGGTGGAGCGCAACTTTCATGTCGAACACAAACATGGGGACTGGAGGTATACACCTGTTATCTTAAATGATACAAAATTTGATAAGCAGGTACGTATGTGCAGCCAAGAAGAGCTTACCACTAAGGTCTGACCCTTGTGATCAATGATCACAATTAAAAAAACAAAAATCATTCTCATCACGAGATAAATCATCAGATCAAACGCTTCCAAAGCAGTAATGCATGGCTAGTTGACTGGGCAGGAGGGTTGACAGCAGTCCAATCTTGTGTTCGAAGAATTTTCTTTCACCCACTTTTATGGATTGTTTCAGAATTTTCTCATCACGAGATGAACAAGAATTTTCTTTCACCCACTCCGGTTTGGTCTCTTTCAGATTCACTACCACCATTGATCCTCTTATCACTATCCTTTTTGGTTCGAGGGGGAGTGGGGGGTAGCATTCGGGAGATTTGGAGTGGCTGGCTTTCGGGATCATATTTTTGTGAAGCAAGGTAACTCAGAGCTGTGACAACATCTGCTATCAGGGGCCGCATGGTGGGCTGTTCCTGAACACACATTGCAGCAACAGCAAGCGCTTGGTACAAGCCTCGTACAGGATATTGACCCTGAAGCATTGGATCTGCCATCTGTGCGAACTTTCTCCGGTCTTTGAACAATGGCCTTGCCTGCAATCAAACAGAGGAAATGGGTGGGTGTTCTCAAAGAACTGTATTAGCCATCATTTTAAAAAATGTTTCATCTTTGCAAGGAATATTCTTGTAAAATCAGCCAACCAAGCTTGTTTGAGACCACGAAACAACCAAAATTTCTCAGTCTTTTCATTTCAGATGAGCATGTCAGCAATGGGATATAACCAGTTTCTTCCATGACCCAACTCTTGTCGATGTTTGCAAGTACAATGTGTGCATGTGTGTGTGGGGGAGAGAGAGATTACTCGGAGCAGGACAATTGGTAATTGTTAAGTAGTGCTGCCTAATGTTTATTTTGTACCTTATTCTATTTATATTCATGCCTGATATAGGATGTTATTATAGTTTTATATTAACTCAAATGGGGTAGTTTAGGAACTGTTTTATTACAAAACAGGGTTGAAGTTTGTAACTTCCTTTTTTTAGTTTTGAGTTGCTAAGCTGATTCGGAGAGCAGAAGTTTTCCCCCCAATGCATGTCTTCTCTAACTTGCGGACATCTCTCTCTCTCTCTCTCTCCCCCCCCCCCCTCTTTTCTGAGCACCAAATACAGTATTTGTAAAATAACAATAAATGGTAATTTCTTGCCCCCATGAGCTGGCTACATGTCATGCATGCAAACAAACTCGGCATGAGATGGTGCTTAAATCTAAAATTGGCATGATTAATTCTAACCATCCGAATTATGCATTATTTTTTGGACCATCTGAGAGTACTGTGAAGGTTCTACAACTTTATCCACCAGTGCCATCCGAATGTCTCAAATTGATTCTTGGTCAGAATGATGGGTGCATTCCAATCTCTAGACATGGGATGTCATGCATGGGCTGGCCATAACCATCTTCATGGTGTAAATGTCATGTTTGGTGGAAATATTGATTATCCAAATATAGGAAAGAAGTTGGAGATGTAAGGTAATATTGTAAAAATTCTAGACGTGGTGGAAATAAGTACATATGTACAATGATGTCTTATGAAATGATAAAAGAAGCAATAGATACACATGTTAGATTGTTATCTTGTTCCAAACCATCAAGTAAGTGGTACATTGGGTGAACACAATAGGAATTTTTAATGATTTCTTAACTGATGACGCCACATCAAAAAAAGTAGCAATGGGTGGCCAACTCTTATACTACTAGGGCTGTGGTAATTTCCCAATAAGAACCTCCTCGGCTCCTCCAAACTTAATCAAGTTAAACTTTGATAGCTGGAGCAGGGGTAATGCGGGCCCATCAAGGATAGGATGTCTTTAGGGATCACAATGGAGACATCACAGCCTTATTTTCTGGTCCAATAGACCATGTAACTCAAATTGAGCAATTGCTAGCAATACTTAAAAGAACTAAATTATACAAACCTGACGATTGAGTAAAATGGTGGTGGGATGGATTCAGAATATGAGGGGAAAAAAAGGCCCCTTGGCAGTAATAGGAACGTGAAAGAGGCAGAATTATTTCATCAACTTGGGATTTTAAGTCTCAAATGGACTAGCAGATGCCTTGACAAAACATGGGATGGGAAAAGTAAAGTCTACTTTGGGGAATTGGGGGGGGGGGGGAGTTGATGTATACAGATTTGAGAAAATAATTATTTTAAAAACTTTTTGCCAGTTACTCATAAAAAAAAAGACTAGGAGGTTAATAGACAAAATAATATGCTATGAAGTTTTCCTGTGAACTTGGACCCCTCCACCTGGTGGATTATTGAAATTAAACTTTGATGGGTGTAGTAGGGGAAATCCGGGACAATCGGGGATTGGGGGTGTTTTTAGGGATGAAAATGGGGTCATTTCTGCCATTTTCTCAGGCCCAATTGGAGTGGGTGACTC